ATTTCCGTAACAACAAGGCTGAAAGCGAAGTGCAGTGTCACCATTTCGCTTTCTGGCCAGCTTGGCTCTCGGCCAGAGGGCCTGAAGGAAATCCACTTCCCAGCTCAATGGAATCCAGTTCCCTGCAGTTTCAGGACTGGGGACGCATTCAGACCCAGGATGGGGATGTGGGTGCACCCCGCCCGCGGGGGTTGGAGATCCTTCCTGCTGGGTGTTTTCCCCAACGCTTCCTCATTCCCCTCCGCGGGCTCTTCCTCCTCGTTAAATTCTCTGGGGCTGGTGGCCGCCCTCCCCGCTAGGTCAAGGCCAGAAAAAAGAACACTGGCAAGAAAGTAATGCCTGGAGGGTAGCAGGTGAAGCGGGAAGAAGAGGGGAGAGGGCGGGGCAGGAAATGCTGCTTCAGCCCCTCAGCCCCCACCAGCACATTGCGAAGTCCGAGCCCCTGGAGCCGGGCTGGGCAATACCCAGACATACCCCGGAAAACACCTCTCTCCACACCCGCTACCACGTCCCCACAACACCGCTCTTTGCCAGCGACTTTCAAGAACCGAAATAGCGGTAAACCGCAGGTACAGGCAAAGGCTCTTCCGTTCTCCACCTCACCTCGCACCGTTTATAACACATCTCTTCCGGGCCCAAGAAGCCCAGGGTCTCCTGTGATCACACCCTCCACCAACCGGCATCCTATCCTCTTGCCTGAGGACACATCCCAGCCAAAGCCTAGGAACCCGGCCCGCAGTTGCTGACGGAGAAGGGATGGGAAGCACAACTTCCCAGAGTCTGACACAGGCAGTGAGGGTGAGGACCCGCGCTCCCTCTTCTACCTTTCGGTCCCAGACCTGCTAGGGACACAAGCATCACAAAGATCACTGATTTAGGCAGGAGTCTGCAAGCTATTCCTGTAAACAGAGTATAATGAATAGCTTCGCCTTTGCAGGCTGTTTGGTGTCTGTCTCTGTATCAAGTAGTGCAGAAGCAGTCAAAGACAACATGCAAACAAATGGCAAGGCTGGGGTGGGGAGGAGGGCGGCAGATGTGCCAGTGTCCTAGTTTGCTGACCCCCCCCCCCCAGATTTAGGGTATATACGTGCCTCAGATATGGGTGCCACACTCTTAGTGAATCTGCCCAGGAGTTCCTCAGCCTGGCTTTGAAGAGCTCTGTCCTGGCTGTGGCTTCTGGGTGGAGTGAATGTGATAGGCACTCGCGTGTGCCGTAGAGGGGCTCCTGGTCCAAGGTGCCACAGGGACAGCTCATAAAGCCGGAAGTAAGAGCAGGTCCAGGTGCAGCTTGCTTGTTCCCTGTGGCCCTGCTCATGACAACTGGGAGGAATCATTTCTGTCTTATAACCACTGGGCCTGTCTGGCCTAATGAGCAGTGGGCCAAGGAGCCCACTCTGGGCAGCTCTAGGTTGTATGGTCACTTGATACCCTATGGCCAGAGGCCTCATCTCTACCAGGTCCCAGGACTATACCAGGAGATACTTTAAAAGTGTGGCTTTCCCTCCTGCAAGTGGCATGGCCTTGCTTCTGACCCTACAGGTTCTGTGTTGTGATTCTCCAGTGAGGATGCCATAAACTTCACAGAGCATCACTTCCCCCCTCATATACCTCTGTGTCATAGGATCTGTTGAGTTGTAGGGTCCTAGTGGCAGGTCCCCCCACACTCATTCATTCATGTCCTGTCCATGACCCCTTTCCTGATGCAACAGCTGAAATGAGTAGTTGCAGAGAGGCCTAGGTTCTGCATAACCTGAAATATTTAGCCTCTAGACATTACAGAGGTTCTTTGGACCAGGGTGTTATAAAATGGAGCTATGAGAGGGATCACACCCCTGCATCATTCTGATTCCAGATGTTTACTTCTTACTGTTCCTTCTTCCAGAATTTTTTTTTTTTTTGCATATCACTTGTTCTGTTTACAGAAAGCCTTCAATACCATCTCCAATGTCAAGTCCTGAGAGACACTTCTTACCATTGTCTTCATGAGTCACTTCCTCTTCTGCCATGGCATCAAATCACAAAGAATAAATAAATCTTTTTCCTTTATCTGTCCCTTGGGCACAGCAGGTCCTGAACACCTTGCTCTAGAATGTTGCATCAAGAGTTCTAAACATCAAAATAAAAAATAAGAGGAAATCCCCATCCTATGACTCTAGTCCCTTTGCTCCACGGGGGCTGGTTACCTCTTTCGCTGATACGAAGAGTAAATGACTACAGAATGGGGAGAAGACCGCCGTGTGAGACAACCACGAACACAAGACTGAAGACAGTACAGTCTCCTGTGCAGAGAAGTCGCTCCCACCTGAACTGCACACGGAGCGGGCAAGTTGGCTGTGAGTTCAGCTATACTCTCTGATGATGCAAAAAAAAAAAAGTATTAAGATTCACAAGCTGGTTGTACTCAAATATATTTTCTCAGTTTCAGATCCTTGTCTATTTTATTGAGTGGAACGTCTTGAACTGAAAGGATTCAAGAATAATGTTGCATTTCCTTGTCTCAGGAAACACTTTTTATGGTAACTTGTCAGATTGTCTATGAACAAACTCACTTTTTTAGACATTATTGATAAAGTCTTTTCTTCACGTGATATTTTATGCAAGAACACTTCAGATGTGTTATTAGATGCGACTGATTTTAACAAATCCTATTAGATTTGTATCAACTAGTTACATGTTATATTCATAGTCTTTTGTGAATCATCGCCTTTTTGTTTAAGAGATGGCCTATTTTGAGCCTTTGTATAGGTACATTCCTATTTTTGTGACAAAAGAACCTTTAAAATTGTCCCGAACAGAAAAATAATGGCTATCAGAAATATGTTTTGTTTTAGTGTGAGTTACTGTTACTGTATGTTTATTGTAAAGGTGGAAATTTAGCATTCAGTGCAGTTTTCAATAAAAAGTAATAAAAAAAATCAAACAAGCAGAAGGCTGGATGAAAAAATATTTAGTCTTTCAAATGTGTGAATGAGGACTTCGGAATGACATACAATAAAAGTGGCCACCCAAATCCAAACCTCTCCACATTATCAGGAAATAGAGAGCAACAAAAGAGACAAAGGAAATGTCTGTCTTCAGCAGGAGGAAGAGACTGAAAACACCTGAATCCATCTGACTCTTTAGCTATGAAGGACAATACCGGTAAAAATTGAATTGTGTCTGAGGTTTAAATGGTAGTACTGTCTGAGTGTGAAAACTGTTTTGGTGATTGCATTGTAATTATGTAGGAAAATACCCTGCTTGCATTTTTGTCTTCACTTGGAACTAGAAATTCTGGTCTCAGTCCACCTAGTTTTTTCTAGCGAGCAGTTACTTGGTTCACAAAAGGTCTTGGGCTCCACTAGCATAGAAGATGCTTGAAAACATATCGTTGGTGACACCTACCAGTAACGGCTGTCTTCAGTCCCTTTCATTAAGCCGGGAGAGTTCTCCGGAAAGAAAATACTGAGTCTTTAAAGAAAATAAGGAATGACTGTGAAATCGGGAGTGGAGACGGGGAACGAAAAGGGGCCAGAAGATCGGGGTGCAGAAAGGCTGAGCGGCACTAGGACCAAATTTTCCGAACAGGAAACTGAAGGCGGCAAGCGGGCGGGGCCGCGCGGTGATGCGCGACGTGACGGGCGGGGGTGGACGCGCCGGGCGATCTTCAGCTTAAATCAGACGGAGATTCACGACTCCCGGCACATTTGCGTCTCTCCAGGGGCTAGCGATGGTGCGGACCAGTGGCTCCAAGACCAGATTTCCCTTCCGGTATCTACTACTCGCACTTTGCATAATCTGCTGCGGTAAGTTTGTGAGGTCGGGCGAGACGGGGGGGGGGGCATCTGCAGAAAGTGAAGGGATTCGGGGGGAGCGGGGAGGAGATGTCTTGTGAGGTCGGGCGTGGTGGGGGGGCAGTCTGCAGAAGGTGAAGGGATTCGGGGGGGCGGGGAGGATGTGAGGTCGGGCGAGGTTGGGGGGCACCGTGCAGGTGAAGGGATTCGGGGGGCCGGGGGGAGGAGGATGTCTC